ATACTTAGCATTTTAGTCATTAAAGCCAAAAATAAAACAACATGGAAGAAAAGCTGGATTAATTGGCAGCCTCTGCCTTCATTGTGTGTCACCGGCACTGTTTGAGATAACATGTTGTGAAATATCATTCTAATATATAACACACGCTAATATCTATACAGTTACACTGAGAGCTGCTACAGGTTATAATTCCAGCACATAGTCTGTGCCAATGCACGCTGCAGCTAACACTATAAAACATTGTGTTATTTTTGTCAAAAGACTGAGCCTTATGATAGATTTCCCCTTTGTTAAATTAATGTTGAATTCATGTATGAAAAAAAAAGAAATGGTCCATATGAAGTGCAGCTGCCAAGGAAACAAGAAGGCACTCTCCATGACCTGAGATTACATAATCAACAGACCATGTAATTAAGTCTGTAGATATTCTGCACTATACGTATTAGTGGCTGCAAGCATTAGATATTTAGTATGAATTATTATTGATGTGCCTTCATGCGTAATGCTGTAATTTAGTGCCTAGGTTTATTTACACATATTTTCTTAGGTGTGTGTACAAACTCTCAGCATGCTCACGGTATTATTTTGTCCTGAGCACTGTGTGTTGCTATGTGAATTGAAATGTCATTTCTAAGCACAGCTATTTCTGTGTACCGATTTATACATGGTGGTGAAATGAAATGTGTAAGCAGTAATGCCTTTTCCTTTGCCTCAGGGGAAAGAATTCTTAGATACTGAGTCATTCGAAATGTACCATGTTATAACGTTTACAGAATACTATACAGAATTATTGCATCAAAAGCAGCAACTAAAATTGGCATGTACACTAATACAATAGCTATATTATCTTTTAGGAGTGTAGCAGTTATTACAGCAATTATATCAATCATATCCCTTGGAAATAGGATTGCTTTGTGTAGTCAGTCTAAGCAGCCAGTAACACATTTGCTGTGAGAGCTAACAGTGTTCCAGCAATGCAGAGGAGTGAGGAGGTCCCTTTAGCTGTTGCAGTGATTCTCCCCTTCTCTGTCGACAACACAACATCGGCTCATTACACCAGTTGAGGAATAAAGACACAGACACATGGGGAGGAAGGGAAAAATGAAAAATGTCAACCAATGCTGTAGAACACTGATCTCAAGAGGGCTGGATCACTCCCACTGGTTTTTCTGCCTATCGGTGTGCACTGCCTGTAGGGGTGGAACGCAGCGGGGAAGATGCTTACACTGTCGCTGGCTATTGTGTGGACAGAGGGGCTCCCTCAGAGTGGATGATATGCATTCAACAGACATTTGCACCTGCGGATGGAGGTTTACGCTCTATGCCTTTCAGAAACGGATTATCTCAGAAGAAGTGCTGAGACTCTGAACAAGCAACTTGTTATATAATGGACCAAAGTGCCTTCTTTCCGTTTTTCTTTGCATTTGATTGAGAAGCTTTTATCTGCATGGTAGCAGATTTACAGTATATAACAAGTTCAGTCTCTTAACATCCAAATTAGGTTTACTTGCTGTTGTCTTTAGAGAAAATTTCCTAATTTAGGCATATAGTAATGGCTCGGAACCCCCAGCGTATATCGGGGAATACCCTGCTGCTGAACGTAAGCCAAGACAAAAAATACCTGTCGAGGAGATACCAACAGTGGCCATGAAAAAAATCCAGACCAAAGAGAAAATCAGGCAAGTGCTATTTCATGTTGTCTTTGTCAGTAATACGTTGATTTTCTCCAATACTGACTATTTACTATATGTAGAACAAAACAATGTAATATATTCCATGTGAAATGTTGACAAGCATTTTATCAACCACACAATGTCTTCTCAACTGTCAGTGTCACATGCAATGATCAATGACAACTGTAATTGAAAGGGAAACAAAATTAGACCAATGTTGTTGTGGAATATGATCACCATGGCCAGTACAAATTAGCATAAGGAATCACCAAGCTCAAGGCACCGTCATAGCTTTTAACTTACTTCAGAGAATTGCAGAAGACTTTCAGAGTTTGACTGAAATGCCAATATACTCTGATGTTTCTCAGACTGATGTTTCTCATGTAAGGTGGGGGATTTCTACAGATTTCTATCACAGTTATGGGCTTCTTTAATGTTATATATATATACAATACATATTGTGAAACAACCATAACATTACAGTGTGGATGTTAAATTAGCAGAATTGAAAATAGAATCAAGAAGATGGTTGAAAGACAAAACCTATTTTCTTTTCCAATTTTATGTCACAACAACAAAGAGGGCAAAACTAAGATATTGAGGTAATACTCAACACAGTGTAAATCTCATTTTGGAAGAACCACACTCTCCCAGGACTACCAGTGAGAGATAGTGTACAATAATACCCCATGCAGTCACTCACTCATTATACCCCTGTCAAGCCAAACAAATTAAGCTGTGTGATGTCTAATTGCCTTTTCTGGAATTTGCTTTGTACTGAAGGTATGCTTTAAGGTGGGGGGTTGAACACTTCCTTTAAAGTAATGTTTTTACTATCATTTTATAAAACCTCTCCAATTTACAAATGCAACGTTATCCTAATGCATGGCTAGATATAAGAGCAGCGGTTAATTCAGTCAACATTTTATTACTTTTTAGACATGATTATTCAGTCTCTCCAGGATGTTGCGATATTGCGATCGCAACAATTAACGCAAATTCAGCCAGTCTCCGCATATTCTGAACGACCTTGCAATTTTGTCCAATCCCTGCAACTTTTCAGCAAATTTGACCAATCATTGTAGTTTCCCGCGCAAAACACTGAGCGTACCATTATCCTGTCCAAAAAGTTAAATTTTATTCTCACTGTAACAAGTTGCCGTTGATTGTTAATAAATTATTTTAAAAAAGGAAGAATCACAACTATTTTCACAATTTTCACTTTCTCATGCATTTTCATTGCAAAAAAAATAGACAAGTTGCCAGGAGATCAGGTATTATAGGTCACAATAATCCTCAAAAAAGTCCTGGAGGGACTGATTACTGTAAAGTTTTTCCGGATTTGGACAATATCTGCTAATGCTTATAGATGCTTTGGGGAAACAGTTGTACATTTAGTAAACACTGTAAAATCCTATTTTTACAGTGCAACAGACACTGATTTAGGGGCATGGTCAGAAGTAAAACGTTATTTTTGAATTGCTTTATTAGATATTTAATATAAAGGTTGCTTTGCAAACATCCAAGGAGGTTTTATTTTGAAGTAGTCATATCATATGAATATTGCATGAATGTGCAACTGTTATGAATGTAAATTTAAGAGCTTTGATTAACCTCATGAGCTTGACACTCATCAAAATGTAAACCACTTACAGAGTTCACCCATTTTGCTTTAAATGCTTAAAAAAATAACTGGTTTACACTGAAGATCAAATAAACAACATTTACTGTGTAACCTTCGGTAGATGTATTTCCACTGAATTCATATGAGCATTTCTAGTATTTCTCTACCAACACTTTAATATGACCAATGCTATTGTGTTCTTTTACTGCAAGGGAACAACAGATACAGCCTCTGTTTTTTATAAGTAATTCCACCTACTGTGAAGCAAACACCTCATGAGAGCTGCTGGGATGCCAATGACTCAATAGTGCTTTCTATTTTGAGTTCCACCAATAACTGTTTTTTCTCTGTCTGAGGAATATAGTCAAATCCTTCAGATTATACAGCTGGGGAACATTTTTCGGTTTAAAAGAGATAAAGTGGTAATGGTAAAAGGTTGAAAAGACTGAAACGCCTCTATTTAATTTGCTCCTATGTATGTGTTGTATTCCCTTCCATAATATGAACTTGCAGATGTTGATGAGATAATTATGAAGGATAAAGACTCAGCAACAGTTCAGCTGCAGTCAATTTAGTACATTTAGCTTAGCTGTGTTAATTAGACCCTGAGGGTGACAACTTTATCATCAACTAGTCCAATGCAACAGAAAACCAAAGTTTTAGTTAAGTAGAAGTTGATTTAATCATGGATATGCAATTATTTTTAGATTAGTGTAGTTCTTTTTTCACACCTGGAATTGTGTTCTTAAAAGATTTCCCAATTTATTTGTGTCATTTCTGTTGCCTTTCATTAAACATCATTAAAGAGTAAACTAGTAACAGTGTGCTCTATCTCTGCTTCTTCTGCTCCCTCATTGTTTTTTCCACGAGTGCTAAAAGATTAAAATTGCACAATATTCAGTTTTATAAATTATTTTATATTGTCTCTAGCGATGCTCGATATTGGCTTTTTTGCCGATATCCGATATTCAGATATTGTCCAACTCTCAATTTCCGATATATCAGCCGATACCGATATCACCCGATACCGATATATGCAGGCTTTTTACACCAAAACTGTTAAGTAACAACATAACATATCTCCTATTGTGGAATTAACACATTATGCCTAATTTTATTGTGATGCCCCACTAGATACATACATAAATGCAATATGGCTTTCCAAATGTAAACACTGTCTGCGCAAAATAGGAGAACAACTTCAACTTTCATTGTATTAATACTGACTAGAGCGCTTATCGCTAGCTAATCGCTAGCTTTGGTTAATGTGTTTAATTGTATTATGCACCTGAAGGAGTGCTAATGTAAATTCTAAGCCAATTGTTAGTTTGGTTAAGGAACAGCTCATAGCAGGGTAAAATATTTAAGGTGCATTGCACTTATTTTGTGTTAATATTAAAATCATTCAGCTTTAAATTGTTTGCTTGTTAGCCACGGTTAGCGTGTAGTTGTTGTTTTTATACGTCTTCTAGCGCGCGCCGGTAAACGTCCCATGCTGTGTTCATGCAGGCCCGGAAATGCTGAAGCCTACAGAACAAACATTGGTTATAAAAACCCGATACGGATAATTCCCGATATTACATTTTTTGTGAATATCGGCCGATAATATCGGAGGGCCGATATTTTTTCTCAACCAGTGGTTCTTTTAACAAACACTGGTCCCGTTAAAATCAGACTTTGTTTTTTATTTGTTTGTTTTTCAGATTCCGAGACAACAGAGGATGAAGGTGGAGACCAATTTGAGACCAAAGAAGATGGTGGGGATGTTGAGGACCAGGCTGTGTATACAGGTATCCAATGTTTCCAGCTTTCAATTATTCCTAAAGATAATTTCTTTTATTTCTGTTTTACTGGTTTCCTTTAATACTACAAATGACATTTACATTTATAGACATTTATAAGCATTCTGAAAAGTTTAAAGGAAGCTGTTGCGCATCTGCACTTATTCATTGATTTTATTTTAATTTTTGGCCACTTTTGGGCAGCAGAATGCACTGAAAACACAGCACTGACATATTCACCATAGAAAGTTTAAATTAGCAAGATATTAGAAAAATCTTGCTAATTTAAACATCCAGCAGACACAGTGCAACCCTCTGTTCTATTTATTCTATTAGCTCTTTTTTGGAAATACTGCCAGTTGCTTCCATCTGGTCACTAACCTTGTCCTTCTCCATTTTGTGCTGGGGAGTGTACAGTGGGTTAAACAGAGCTTTTTCTTTTTCTGCTTTGGCTGAAAACAAGGCTGATGAGAGCGGCGTTTGCATGCTGCAAAGCCTGAACAATGAGCTCAAAGGCACTAAAATGCTCTGTAGAGCTGAACTGCATAGATGGATGTTAATTCTCTGTGGGTTCATCACTATGAGTGACCCCTTTACAAATTGTCATTTGATCCAGTGTTTACGACAGATTGATTGTTGCAGCTTTACATTTCCCTTGTGTCATAATCATAATCTGATGGCTTCTCTGTACAATATGTCATATTTTCTGCAGTGATCGACAAATGTGCTGAAGATGACAATAGAACACATGGACATGAGGATCATTCTAACACAACCAGGCAAGAAACAGCTGCTGTTTTTTTTATTATTGGACTTCAATTCTACTGTTCTATTCTCTTGATACAAAAATGCAATACTAAGCAGACTGTGTTAGTAATATCCTACTGATTCCAACAGATTTTGCTTTAATTCCTCTATTTCAGGAACCAGTCAGACAATTTTTCAAGAGAATCTCCTCCAGAAGTCCTCCCACCCCCATCCCCAAGACTTGTCAAACGTCCCTCCACCTCTCCAATGCCAAGTCGCTCTGGTTCAACTACACCTCTCAGCTTGCGGAAGAAAACTGTTGTGCCAACTGAATACCAAGACACAGTGCCTGGGGAGTTTGAAGAAAAGATTAAGCAGCCAAAATCAGTCTCCCAAAGTAACACCCAGGACTCCCGACCACAGACTCCACTGAGCGAGTACTCCCGGAAAGAATTTACTCTCAGACCATCCCCAAAGCTTACCAGGGCAAGCTCAAAGGTTTTCGAGAAGGTCCGTGGCTTAGAGGAGCGGAGACGAAGCCTTGATATTCCAGAAGGTTCCATCTCGGGAAGATCCTGGGCAGGGTTCAATCGTGCTGGATCTGTAGATTCAGATGACGGAGGAAGCCGATTGGGCATCTCTAGAGAAAGTTCAAGGGAAGATCTAAGGGAGGCTTTGAAAGAGGATGCTGCTGAACGGAGATCTATGTTTAGACAGAGAGCTGCTTCGCTGGAGGACAAACCTCGCTACTCCCAAAAAGTTCAGGACATTGAGAACAAGTTCACTGAGGAGCTCCAGCGCATTAAGAAACTTGTTGGTAAACCTCATCTGAAGAAGTCATTTTCAACTGAGCAACTCACTCTGAAGAGCAAGCATCGCCAGCCTCTCAGGAAAATTGAACCTATTCCTCCACAAGTCCTTCAAAAACTCCAAGAAAGGGAACGTGCCCAGTGGGCAAAAGAACAGAGAGAAAAGGAACTAAGTCAGCAACCAATGCAGCAACAACAGCAAATACCGCAAGACCAGCACACAACCCAACCACAAAAGACAGCAAGCACTGGTTCAACAACTGTAACAGTTAGTAGATTTGGAGAGGTTGCAGGCACCCCAGAGTCCATGCAGTTATCTGACTTACCAGGACAACGATCAGTGAGAGAATTAAGTAGAGTCAGTCCAGTCACAGAAATCATTCAGAGATCATCGTCACCAGCATTATATTATCAACAAAGGGAAGAGTCACCAAGCAGAAATATTGCTGAGATGACATTACGCAAAGTTGAACGAAGGCCACCAAGTCCACTTGTACAAAGGGTATCTCGAATGCAAGAATCCCAGCACATCCAAGACTCTCTTGTGCAAACGTCACATAAAGATGAGACCTCGGGGAGAAAGACGCCGATAGAACTAATGATAAGAAAAATTGAAAATAGACCTGAAAGTCCACTGGTACAAAAAAGGGCTGTCATTGTGCAAGATCTCCCTCCTCAACCTCCTCTAAAACCCTCAAGGATGTCAGCGGTCAGTCCACAGGAGGAGAAAATGGAAGTGGAGCTATCTAAACCAGCCCTAAAGATAAGAATCCCTGCAATTATTGTTGAAGATGAAAAAATGGAAGAGGATGTTCCTGTGAGGACAAGTGAGCCTCAGCAGATTACTACTAGTGCCAATGAAGGACAACAGCAGAAGACCAAAGGAAAGAAACGTCGCCCTCGACCCATGTCTCCAGAGTTAGGTTAGATTTATTTTTCTTCTTTTATTTAGCTCTCTGTAGTAGTGTGAACTTCCAGTCTGCTTGTTTTTCTTGTTTAATCAACCAATTACTCATTCCTTACTCAAGGGGGTTTCTTCTAATTTGATCACAGGAAAAAAATGACTTCAGGCTTTTCTTTTTTTAAACTGTGCAGATTCTTCAGATGATTCTTACGTGTCTGCTGGAGAAGACCCAATGGAGGCCCCTTTATTTGAGTTTCCCCTCAAGGACACTGTAGCATCTGCTGGTGCAGATGTGCTACTAAAATGCATCATTGCTGGCACCCCCATTCCTGAAGGTAACATTATGTACTTTGTGTTTTAACAACAAATATTTGTAACAGTAACTGATATTGAAGCAATCAAAACATTTTTTGTCTTCTCTGTTGAAGTTACCTGGACGAAAGACAACACTGGAATCATCGGCTTTGCAAATTACGCAGTCAAAGTTGAGGGTGAACGACATAGTTTGCTCATCAAATCAGCTAGAATAAGTGATGGTGGAAAATATTGTGTAACTGCTGTTAATCAGGTGGGCAGAGCATCCAGCAGTGCCACCCTTATAGTTAAAGCAGGTAAGTTTGACTTTATATAATATATACAGTACTGCTTTTTGTTGATTTACTTTCATTTCTGATTCAAAAGTTAAAATCTGGTCTTCAATGATTTAATTGGCATACAATTATTATGCAATTGAAGAGCTACTAGTTGCTTGGTTAGTCAAAATGACTATAGTGAAGGTTTAATTATGTGTCTATAAAAACAACAGTTGCTTATCATAAATTGAAGCAGTTGAACCAGATTAAAGATTATGGACAAAACATTTATTGTTTTCTACACTGAAATATATGATTGCCCATTTAACTTGGATGGAATCAGAATTCTTTTTATAGCTGGTCTAATAGTATAAGGCACTTATTTTTTTCCCTATAGATGAATTTGAACATAGCCTACATAATTCAGAAACAGGTCGATGTACCTAATAATAATTTTTAATTTGAAAAGCTGTTATTCTCCATCTGAAAAAAACATCTTGTGGTCTCTTCCCACATTGGCATTGTGTTTCAGCTGATTTCTCTCCAGCTCCCTTGTCATTATCTTTCTGAGCAAAATGTCTGTGCCATATATTCCAGCTGAACAACCTCACTTATAGTTACCATAGCAACTCAGAGGCGAAACTGAACCTATAAATTGCCCACTGAGGCTCACTGGCTCCACCCACTGTGAATCCACTATTGTTTAGATATCACATTTGACATCTCAGATTCTAATTTTATTTTAAGGGGGATTTTGTTTTTTTTAAATACATGAACTCTTTGAACTCCTGTTTTCTCAGTAACAAAAAGTAAAGTTTACAGAGACAAAATGAAGGTAAATAGCAAACTAACGTTGCTTTTACAGAGTCTGTGAAGGAGCTGAAGGGAAACCTTGGCGTTCCTATGGATATCAGCAGCCCTATTACATCTGATGAGGAGTATCTCAGTCCCCTGGAGGAAGGAATGGATTTTGGAGGGCCAGAACCAAGGCGAAGTATTGACACACGATTCAGGAAACCTCCTGCATTCCTGGTGAGAATGTACAGAGCTAGGCCTGATTAGATACCTAATTGACTTTCTTTTTTATAATATGACATTTGTATGTTCAGTATTGACACTTACTTAACTGCATTTTGACTGGTTGGTTGCATGAAAATATTCCATGAACAGGATGTCCTTATATGAATCTGTTGTCTGCGTGATCATCCCATCAACAAATCTATCAAATAAAACTTGCATCTCTCAGCTTCTAACTTACATTACATTTCAAACAGGTAACAATGAGTGATCAAGATGTCATTGAAGGACAGGAAGTCACCATGTCTGTCCGAATAAGTGGACAACCCAAACCCATGCTCTATTGGTAGGTCCCCTGACTTCATCAAACTACTTAAACTCATTACTTGCATGGGACATGGAAAAAACCTTGAATCACACATCATGAGAAAGCTTGCTTCCCTGCATAGTTTTTTTTAGGGCATGCTGCTTTATTGCATCTGTTAAAGGAAGTGGAAGCTTAATGTTTATTGCCCAATCTCTAGGCTGACAGAAAGAGTCTTAATAGGGAAACGGGAAGAATAACACACTTTCCCCATTTACCACGATGCTGCACAGTGCCCAGAAACACAAATGTCTGGCTGAACTAATGAGCTCCTAGACAGCAATCTGGATTTCACATGCGTGGTTAAGGCAATCCAAAAAAGAACCAGATTTGATTGCACTTCTTTGCAAAGGTCAGGTCCTTTAATTCCTCATATCAGCCAGTGGTTCTTTATTGCTGTTTTTAGCTAGGACAGAAGCTTCAAAGGATAAGGCTGGCAATATTCCATATTTATCTTATTCCTCTTACAAATCCCATAAACTGTACTTGATTTTGAGTCAGTCCCACATGCACCATCCTGCTGCTGTTAATACTCACAAGTGCACCATCGATGGTGTTGAATTAAAAATACTTTCACACACCTCTCAATGGTGTGAGAAAGTGTGGTGATGGTCTGGTGTCATACAGCTTCCCAGTTTTCTCCATTTCGCGTTAGCACTAGTCTATTTTACTGATAAGAGCATGCACTGGGTCAGATGAACAGTGCATCCTCTACTGCAGCACTTGCGCTTATACATTGAATAAGAATTCATATACAAGTTTTTCGTACAATCTAACTGTTGTTCAGATTCAGTAAAAAGTGACTGCCTTAGCAAGGAAGACAAAATGTATTAACAGATGGACTAACACATTGTAGGTTTTGGTCTTTTCATGGGATTTGTTGACAGTTAGTACAACATAAAATAATGCCAGCCTTATCCTTTAGTTTGGGAGACAAGAATAGGCTGAATCACTCTGGCAGGTTCTGTCATTGGAGTTAGTCATGACTCTCAAGAGACAATAGCAGAAAAGAAAGTGCTAAACATAATATTGGCAGTCCTGGTAATAATAACGTTTCCCACCCCCCACCTCCTTTATACCACCCAGAATAGAGCTTGTAGTTGAAAAAGTGCGTGCTTGGTCATTGCATAAATTAAATTAAAAAAAGTTGTATGAGTGATTCATCTCTTGTTTTTAAAGCATAGCAACAATTGTTCTCTTAATTCTTCTCTTCTGTAGGCTGAGGGACAGAGTTACAGTGAAAACAGGCCCACGTCACATTGTGCGTGAGACAGAAGATGGGACTTTTGAAATGACCATCAAGTCAGTGGTGCGATCAGACTCTGGGATTTACACCTGTAAGATCATTAATGAGTATGGGACAAAGCAGTGTGAAGGAAAGCTGCAGGTGCAAGGTATGCTTCTTTTTAAATGTGCTGGTGTTTGTTGTTACTTTTAGAATGGACAAATCCACATTACACTCTTTCTGTGGATAATACATCTGCTGTTTGACACTAATTTACTTATTAGTTAGAATATACATTAATACCATAACTCCACGTGAATAAAAACATTCATTGTGACCTGTGACTAGTTTCACTTAACAGCACTCTTCAGAATATGTCCTTTATTTTGTCCCAGCACCATCAGTTGAGCCTGGCCTGGCAGTCATCCGCCCGGTCAGGGACATCACAGCCAAGGCTGGAGAGACAGTTTTGTTTGAGTGTCATGTCATCGGACCGAAGGACACTGATGTGGACTGGCTCGCAGATGGGAAACTGATCCAGCCAGCATTGCTCAACTGTAAGATGCACTTCGATGGAAGAAAGTGCCGTCTGCTGCTCAACTCCGTACACGAGGATGATAGCGGGACATACATGTGCAAGCTTAGCACAGCTAAAGGTTTGTTTGAAGAATAAATATCACAATATGTGTGATGTAAGATTTTAAATCTGCCTCCTCTGCTACTTCTAACATTATGTCTAAAATTGTGGTTTTTACTCTTCAGAGGAAGTGACTTCATGTGGCAAGCTCAAAGTCATGCCTTCATTCGAACCTCTCTTCACTCGAAAGCTGGACGTTCTAGAAGTGATTGAAGGGCGTAACGCTCGATTTGACTGCAAAGTCAGTGGGACGCCATCTCCTAAAATCATCTGGAGTCACTTTGGTAGGATTATATCAAGATGTAAATTTTGTTGTTGTATATTTTAACCTTTTCTTTACCATTTTCTTAATATTTCTCACCTTCTCTGAGTTTTGGTGTTGACTTATACCTAACATCTTTTGTTTCTTTAGATCATCCGCTTGCAGAAAGTGAGGACATTCGTATTCTTCAGGAGGGCGGCCGCCACTCTCTCATCATTTCTCATGTGACCAATGAGGATGAGGGTTTTTACACTGTCGTGGCCCGTAACAGTCATGGCGAGGCAGAGAGCTCCGCCGAACTTTACATTCAAGAACCGCGGCCAGCCATCTCCTCACAGATGTAAAAGCATGTTTTCATTGGCTGTTGGGCCATAGCTGTTGTGTTTTTCATGACTTCTCTCGATTATAGATTATATTATAATATTGTATTTTTATGCAGTAACTGACATAGGGGATTAATCCACTTGTCTTGCCATGTGCCACTTTCTCCACTCTTTTGTTCCCTGTCTTCACTTCCCTTCAGGGCTAAACTGGAGAAGATGCCATCGATCCCAGAGGAGCCAGAGGTCCCAGAGAATGAGGTGGAACGTTTCACTATGCCTGACTTCATCAAACCCCTTTATGACCTAGATGTGATCGAGGGAAAGGAGGCCGTGCTCAAATGTAAAGTGGCTGGTTTGCCGTACCCCACCATTGTCTGGTTCCACAACGGCAAAAGGATTGAGAGCACAGAGGACAGAAAGATGACACAGTGTAAGTGTTTGAAAATGGATTAACATTTGCCTAAAAGTCAAAGTACTCAATCCTTCCCAAAGCAAGTAACATTAACTAATGACTTTTCATTAAAAAAAAAACCTATTATAGCAGTATGTAATGTATGATGTTCAAACTAATACTAACCTGCCCCTGTTCTGAGATAATAAACCATCTCAGAAATAGTAAGCCCTGAGTTTCATTTATCGCCCTTTTGCAAAGAAAAGTATGATCTAGAAAAACTTACAGTATATTGTATTTATTGAATTTATTGTCTCAAACAACCCAGATGACCTTTACAAAACTAATTCATATGAGCATTTTTCAATCTGCCACCTGTATGGTCTGATTAAATTAGGCTACTAAATGTACTTAAGGTTAGAGGAAGATCATAGTCATGTTAAAAAAAACATCTGTTGGAAGGTGACAGAATGTAAACCACAGTCAGTGGAATCAAACTCAGACATCCCAATCTCCTCCATAAGAGGATTTGTGGTACTGTGACAATAACACGATGCTTCCACTTTTCTTGTGAGAAATGACAGTTAATACTCGCGCAGCTGCAAGTTTTTGCTTTTGCTTAAGAACTCAAACATTCATTCATTTAATTTTTCAGACTTTCTCATTTTGCAGGCATGGTTTACTTTGACAGTAAGTTACATTGCATAAAGATGCTAACAGACCAGTATACATCATATCCTTCCTTCTCTGCTTTCTCCTGTAGTCCGTGACGTCCACAGCCTGGTCATCCGCTCTGTGTGCCATGCACATGGTGGTGTCTACAAGAGTGTCATCTCTAACAAAGTTGGCAAGGCCACCTGCTATGCTCATCTCTATGTCACAGGTGATTTTCGTTCCTTTTCTGGCATGCACCTCAACAAAACACAGAGGGCCTAATGCAAGAACGAATTGTACAAACAGATTTGTTTGAACGTGGAATGTATTCATAATTAAAGAGAATTTTCGGCATTCAATTATTTTATTGTACTTCGAATTTTATCTGACAGATGGCAGAAATTAATGAGTGGTCCAGACCTGTTGTACGAGACTTGAGAATTTTAATAGCACAGTTATAATGCCAATTAGTCATGGCCCTATTTGCTTTAGATAGATATTTTTAGCATCTAACTTCATGTCAAACAAGTCACACCATTCCATCTTTATTTCTATCTCTCTGATGACATGTCATCCGTAGCTGTACTATTAATATTTTAAACAACAATGTGGTCCTCTAATATGACTACTGACTTTTAGTGGGACTGGAAGCTCAACTATGTGAAAGTCTTTTTACTCTTTGGAAACATCTTTGTGAATGAAACTTTCCCACAAATGGACCGGAACAGGCAGCCTTATATGGAAATTATAGGGGTGTAGATTTTAATAATGGTGGGGTGAATTACGACTTTGAACACTCATACAAGAGCAAAACTCATAAACTCAAAAAGTAAAAGTATAAGCAGTAAGTAAAAGTAATATATATAGTTGGTCAGTGCCTCGGGCAAAGGCAGATCAGAAACATTTATGGACCTCTAATTCCTTTGTCATCATTTTCAGATATTCTCCCTGACCCTCCTGATGGGACTCCAGTAATCAAATCCATCACTGGTAAAACCATCACCTTAAGCTGGAAGAAACCAAGGAGGCTGGACCCTTCCATTGGTATGATAAAATAAGATAAGACAAGATAGATTGATCCCACACTTGGGAAATTCCCTTGCAACTGCAGCTCCAGAGGCAACACAACACAATAGAAAACAAAAAAACATACAACATTACGTACATACGACATAAAAATATAAAAGAAAAAATACAAGATTTAATAGAAATAGAAAAATAAGATGTGATTCATATAGAACATTGCACAGGTCAGAGCAGGACGTAGTGGCAGACTGAAGACATAAATATAATTGCACAGGACAAAACACAATACATACAGCAGTGTAATTTAAAGGTAATATAGGCTAGTACAGATATAATATAATCTTAACAATGTGCATATAAGAAATTATATATATTATGCAGGAATGATGTTCAAAATAGTAAGTAAATTATTTTCATTTTAAGAATTTATCCTGACATATTTAACAAAATTATTTAATTATAGACCAAGCTCTTGACTGAAATGACAATGAAATACTGATATTCATACATAGATGGTTGATACAATAGTTTATACTGCATGTACTGCATACTCTAAACAGTAGGAGAAAGGATCTCATTTTAAGGTTTCTTGAAAAAAAATATATATTTTGGAGAACATTGTGGTGTAGCATCTTGCATTAAAACCTTTTTTCTTTCAGACCCCAGCTCCCTGATGTATGCCATTCAACAACAGGCCCTGGGCTCCATCCAGTGGACTATCATAGCTTCTGGCCTGAAAGAGACCACCTACATCATCACCACCCTCTCCAAAAGTGTCCGCTATGCTTTCAGGGTCCTGACCATCACCTCCAAAGCCTTCAGCAAGCCCTCACCTGCCACCGACCCAGTGCAGCTCCTGGACAGAGGTACATTCAGATTATAGAGCATCCATCAATCCGTCAGTGTGCACTACCTGTTTATTAAATATTATCTGTGTGTATAATTGGATTTTCTTCTAGGTTCCTATCTTCAGGAGGCTCCAGTAATTATAGATAAGCCAGAAATTGTCTATGTGATTGAAAACCAGTCAGTCAACATCACTGTCACCCTCAATCATGTCAACGCTGCAGTCATCTGGAAGAGGTATCTGTGCTGTCAAGTTTCATATTAATGGTATACTCAGGTTTCTAATAATACTGAAGTTGTATTTGTAGTTTTCAACCATCACATATCACATGCTGACTCAATTATTCAGGAGTGATATATGGTGATAAAGTCACCACCTAGTGGGCCCAGTGTGTTACAGGACAGTCAGAGTGTATGACTAACAAACACAAATACAGTATGACACTGCATACAGGCAGCTGTTGTGCTCCAAGTGATTATCAAAGATTCCAGAGCAGTGAATAAAGTCTATTTTTGCACCCTTACGTGACTTTCTCCTACCTATGATGTATTAATGGTTTACAATACAAACACGTTTCCTCAGGAGGGGAGTGGTCCTATCCAGCAAGCCAGGCCTGTATGAGATGACAATGCCAGATGACGACCAGCACACTCTGAAGCTGCTCAAAGTGAAGAGTGCTGACATCGGAGAGATGGTATTTACAGCCTCCAACAAGTACGGCAGTGACAGCTGCACTTTTAATGTGGAGATGGCAGGTAGGTAGCAGATCTGTCTGTCTGTCTGTTCATCTGTCCATCCATCCATCTAAAGTTAATGTAACTTGGTATTGTACCTCTGCAAATCTGTCCACAGCTCCACCAACATTTGAAACTATCATGGAGGACTTGGACGTTTGTTCTGGGGAGACCCCTCGCTTTGCTGTGGTTGTGGAGGGCAAACCCATTCCTGACATCCTCTGGTTTAAGGTTATTATTCATTTTATCAGTCAAAAGTAAATAAATTACCAATATGAACTGAACTATGCAATAACCTAAACTTTTAAAATGGAAATTTACCAAAACAGATAATTTTTTGTTATATTCTTTGAAGAACAATTGCCCGAAACTTACCATATTTCCTTCCAGAATGACATCCTGCTGTCGGAGAGCAGTCATTACACATTTGTGTATGATGATAATGAATGTTCCCTGGTGGTCCTAAACGCTCGCCCAGGAGACTCTGGGGTTTACACCTGCACTGCTAGGAACTTGGCAGGATCTGTGTCCTGTAAAGCTGAACTCACCATTCATGAAGGTAAGAGGTCAGTCTATCAGAACCATTAAAGAATCTAACAATCCCTTGAAGTGAAGGAGCTAACCTAATCGAACACCCAACCTTTCTTGTAATTAACTGAACATTTAGTCAGTTTTACATTTCCCTTCGTCTAATTTAATGCTCATTACTGCAGCTAAAAGTAAAGAGGATCCAATGGACGATGAGGGGACTATTTTAAGGAAAATGCGCCGACTGACTGACCACTATGACATCCACAAGGAAATTGGAAGGTGAGCCATTTTTTAAGGCCACATTTGAAATCCCTTGCTTAAATGCAATATAATGTAAGACAACCACTGTCTGCAATGAAACCAGTTTTTATTGACTTTCCAAAATGAGACTGAGATTTCTTCTTGTCTCATTCCCTCCATCTTGCTTTTTTGAACAGATTTTGAATTATACCAGACTTGGGTGAAATTAAGTTTCTTATTTTCTTCTCCAGAGGTGCATTTTCCTATGTGAAACGAGTCACCCAGAAGGTAGGCAAAATGGAGTATGCCGCAAAGTTCATCTCCACACGGGCCAAGAAGAAGGCGTCTGCTCTGAGAGAGATGAACCTGCTTTCCAAGCTGGATCACGAGAGAGTCCTTTACTTTCATGATGCCTTTGAGAAAAAGAATGCAGTCATTATCATCACTGAAATGTATCCTTATTATAGAGTGAAAACACAAAGTTAAATTAAATTATTATTTATTACTATTTAGTGCCACTGTACGCAATGTGTTGTTTTGAAAAGCTTTATATTAAACATTCTGTCTTGTTAAAAGTTAAACAAAAACGCATACATATTGTACATGTATTACACACAGTTAACGTTTATTGTGCAAAGAATCTAAATTCCCAGAAAGAATAGCCTTAATTCATCTTTAAAGATGCCACGAGGAGCTACTAGACAGATTTACAAGGAAATCTACAGTAATGGAGTCTGATGTAAGTCCTGTTTTTTTTGACTCAACAGCAAATCTTTCACTTTCACTAACATTTCAAGATCAATTTCAATGTATTGATCAAATGTATGTAATTTAATGCAATTTAATAAATAGCAGTTATACTGGTACATTTGTATTTTGGGACCACCAGGTACGTTTATGCATAAGACAATTGCTTGAGGGATTGGACTACCTTCATCATCTAAACATCATACACCTGGACATTAAGGTAGTACTCATGGATACTCACTCTCACTTGGCAAATGATCATAAAAAATGTATTCTTATGGTAGAAAATTTTATTTTTTTCTTATTGTTTCCTCAGCCTGATAACCTCCTCATGGCAGACTCCCATAGTGATCAGATCCGAATCTGTGACTTTGGCAACGCAGTGGAGATCACACCTGATGAGGCTCAGTACTGCAAATATGGAACACCAGAATTTGTTGCACCAGAAATAGTCAATCAGACCCCTGTGTCAAAAGCATCGGACATCTGGTAGAGTATCCTTTGAATTTAAAACAAAACTTTTTCTTCCTTTTTTTTTGAACACACCCTGTTTTTATAATTCTCTTTTTATTTCCCTAGGTCAGTTGGAGTTATTGCATATCTGTGGTAAGTTAAATTATTATTTATTTTCTTCATTATTAAATGTATTCCAGGATACTAAATATCATCGTCAGTTTTTGATGTGTTTGCCTGTTCAGGACTATTTGTAGGCTTGTCATTAAATTTGTTTGTTTCTATTATCAGCCTGACTGGAGTGTCTCCATTTGCTGGAGAAAATGACCGCAGCTCCGTACTGAACATCAGGAACTATAATGTGGCCTTTGAGGAGAGTATGTTTGCTGACCTTTGTCGAGAGGCTAAAGGATTCATCATAAAGCTGCTGGTAGCAGATAGGCTGTGAGTAACCCTACTCGATCTCTATTTTTCAAGATTTGTTTTATAAAACATCGAGATTTCTTTATAGAAAAGTATTGTGTAAAATACATATATCAATATGTATGTATTATAGATTTTTCTAAGCTGTGTATACAGCTCTGGAAGACAACATTCTCCTCTTTGTCATTTTGTAATTGCACAAAGACATTTTCCTTATCAAGTGAATAAAAAGACAAAAATGCTCATGTTAATGATCTTGTTTCAGTATTACATGCTTGTCAGATGGATATTGGGTGTTTATATTTCCTTATTCTCTATTCTCTAGTCCCTATGTGCTCACACTCTTCCTCTGGTGCTTTTACAGTTAAGATAGCTAATAAAGCACAGTTTCTTAAGCTAGATAATGGAACGAATGATCAGAGACCTGGAAGACTGAAATATGTTATAATATTTCTCTAGGAGACCTGATACTCAAGAATGTCTCAGACACCCCTGGTTCAAGGTAAGACAATGCCAGTGGCACTAGTACAGTGTTAATCATCGACAACCTCCTTTTGCAGTAATTTCTTGTTGACAATACTGAGCAAGGTCCCATTCCTAATTTATTTTTATTACCTTTAATGTCTATTTATTGAACAGACACTTAGCAAGGGGAAGGCAATAAATACAGAGGCCCTGAGGAAGTTTGTATCTCGCAGAAAATGGCAGGTGAGTCATGTTAATTACTTATTTTCGTGTTGCTTTATACTCAGAATGCCTATAAATAATTCAATGGTTAAATTTTAAATTTTTTTTTATTGTATTGTATTTCATTTTTTATAGCGTTCACTAATCAGCTATAAATCAAAAATGGTCATGAGGTCCATACCTGAGTTGCTGAATGATTCCTCCAGCCATATCTCCATAGCAGTTCCCAGGCACCTTAAAGAAGGTTCTCCTTTGCCATCGTCATCCTCGGATTCTGATGAAGACATTGATGAATTGCCATTTATTCCAATGCCAATTAATATGGAATTCTCTGGATCAAGGATGTCACTGAATGACATCCAGACCAATGAGCAGGAGACAGGAAAGCAGGATGGAACAAGTAAATGGTCTGGGTCTCCTGTTCAAGCCGAGGAGGCAATGGAGTGTGATCCTAAACAAATGGATAAAGAAGGGCTCGAATTACCAGGTAAAGGCCGCCCGCGGAAGAGGTCATCACAAGACAATGACCGGGGTTCATCAGATGAAGAATCACCTGCTGAATTACCACAAAAGTCGGAACTGACTAGAAAACCCCTGCGAAGAGGTTCAAGCATGGAGTCAGATAAACCAGAGGGTGGCAGACGAAGAGGTGAGCTAAGACGTGGAGGCTCAGCTGACAGTGCATTGCTGCTCCGGATTACGCCTGAGGAAGGCGCTGGAGAAGGAAACCAAGAGGAAGGCAGGAGAGTTCTCAAGAAAGCTGTCTCTATGGAACTACCAAGGAGGAGCACAAGCCCAGGAACTGCCAAGATGAGTCAAGAAGACTACGCTCTGAAACTAGAGCTGATGAGACAGCGACTGCTTCGTGGTGGCTCTGTGGACAACAAGATGAGTGGTCTGAGAGGACCTTTGTTGGAAACACTAGGAATGGGAGATGAAAAACGTGCAATATCTTCAGATCGCTACTCTCGGACTGCCCGTTTGGGCCCACCTCCACTAACTAGAGCTGCATCCAGTGATTCCGCAAGGGACGAAGTTCCCAAACCCAAGATTTTGCGCAAAACTGCTTCTTTCAGTCAAGGCGATTCAGAACCCATAGCTTTACACCGCCGGTCAGGAGCTCCCTTAGAGATTCCCTTGGCACAGATAGAAGAGAGGAGGCTCAAGGAGGCTATATCTATGTCATCTCTCACTGAGCAAATCAAGCTAGACTCTCGTCCAGTTACTCCCAGGGAACCTTCGCCCAAGCCGCCAACACCAGAGTCTGTTGTGCAGGAAAGTCCAAACAAAACAGAAAGCGAGGAATCATTCATGGAGAAAGAGATTAAGGCTGATGAGACTATGAATGAAAAGATGGATGGGCTGACTACAGATAGTAATTTTGATGAGAGATCAAGCACAAGTGGCTTCTCAGAGAAGGATATGAGCATATCAGAAGAACCAATGATTGAATCAGAGTATACGGGCCAAGGAATTCCTACACCTCCTCTTGTGGTCCAAAGCTCTAAACTAGAAGAAAAAATGGATAAAGAAGAGGGAGAAAAAGAGTATGAAGAAAAGGAAGAGATTATGAAAGAAGAAGAAGAAAAAATTGTCAGTGTTGCTGAAGTTTCTGAAGAAAAGATGGAAGAAGAAGTAAATATGCCTGATAAATCTTCTGACATTATCATAACCACAAGCTCAGTTATGGTGAGACCAACACAAGAATATTCCCATCCCCCAGCAAATGCCGTGTCAACTTATGTGACACCCTCACTTCCTGCTAGAGTAGTTCTTCCAGATGGAAGGACTTCAGCATATGCCAGTATAATGCAGGCCATCATGGTCCCTTCAATTCAGCCTGTCAGTGATCAACCTTTAGGCCCCTCCACACCTGTTGTTGTTCCAGCCACATCTTCATCTGCCAGCATGTCCACTGCTTTACCTGGTCCACCAAAGCCAGTCATCCTGTCAACCACTGAGCACCCTGCTGTATACTCCAGGGTAGCATCGCCTGAAATGATCACAAAAGAACCCAGTCCACCGAAGACTACCACACATTCCTCATCCCAACAAGAGCTCTCAGCAGGAGCTGACTTTGAGGACATTAGCTCTGAAGAGGTCTTTGAGGCTCGTTTTAAAAAACGTGAGTCTTCCCTCTCAAGAAGTCTAAAATTTCTGTCACGGCCTAAGAATGAGGACAAATCACAAGTGATTGACTCTGCAGAGTCATGTGAGGAGATATACAGACCTGGGCCAATTGGTGCACCGGTAGAATTAGCCCAGAGGAGACTTGAAGAGAAATCAAAGTCAGTCCTGGACCTTCGTGAAGCTCAAAAGGACCAAGGCTTTATGAAAAGACTCTCTATGCGCCTGAAGAGAACTCCGTCAACTGAGCGCAAGGACGAAATGACCAAAGAAGAAGATTCAAATACTTCAAGACGTAGGCTTTCTTGGACTCTTGGCCGAAGAGGGTCACAGGAAAAGAAGGAAGTAGAGATGATGCGCATGGATGGTGGAGGTGATACATCAGTGGAACAAGATGAAAAGGAGCTTAAGAAACCTAATGAATCACCAGTCTTGGCAATGCGCAGAAAGATTGAATCAACAGTGGCTGGTATCTCCACAAGAATTCGCAGCTACTCAGAGGAAAGGAGAGCATCAGAGGACAAAGAATCCAAGAGGACACCAATTTTTTCCATGCTTCGTCGTTCAACATCAGAGAGCCGTGCTCCAAAGGTTGCCAGTATTCCTCAGAACCAGCTGGCATCTCAGACCAGCAATGGTGCCTCATCAGAGTCTCTAGACTCTATGTCCAGCCTTAAGTCAGAGACATCAAAGGGTATGAAGCAATTATTTGCACATCTTTTTTCTCTACATTTGACTATAGTATACTATCAGATGCACTTTCTGATTGATTTATGGAGTTGATTGTTGTTTTTTTGTAAAGGTGTGGAGGCTGAGCGCAGATCTCGATGGGATCGATGGGGCCTGACAAGAGGGAGGCGAGACAAGACAGTATCACAGCCTGACATACCAACAACAATCTCCAGAGAAAATAGTTCCCTACGTTCACGCCAGTACTCCAAACTGGCATCTGGTAAGTCACACAAGAGTGTATAGAGACTGTGATAGCATTGTGTCAAGGGTAAGGCATGACAACCTTAAGCAACAGTTTGACATTTTGGGAGATATGATTAATTGTTTTCTTCTTGAGAGTTAGATAAGAAGCAGCCAGCAGGCACTTAGCTTCCCTTAGCAGAAAGAGTTGAGACAGGGACAAACCGCTCGCGCAGCTCTGCTCAACAACCTGTAAAACCACAACATGTAGTTTTTACTCATTTTTCTTTTTCTTTTTTGCAGATCAAACAAATGACATATAACACTAGTGTTAGCAAGTTAAGCTATCTGACTGCTGGCTGTACCTTCATATTTAACGTATATGAAAGGTGCTAATCCCTTAATCATTTAACCAATAACAATAACACATAGATTTTATGTCAACATCAGTAGAAACAAAGCATTTGATTGAAAAATGGGATAATGTGTGAGAAGAACACAAAGACAAAGATTCCTAGCTGATCCTAGGCAAAAAAAAGCTATGTTGTGGTTCCAGTAATGCTGGTGTTAACCATCACTGGGTTCAGTAAATCATAACTTTTGACCTATCAATATTCTGTATCATAAGAAATGATTTAAGTGGTGTAACCCATTTTGCTCCCAGATTTCCCTCCAGTATTCCACATCAAGCTTAGAGATCATGTCCTGCTAGAGGGGGATCCAGTCACACTCAGCTGTCTGCCAGCAGGCAGCCCCCACCCAAACATCACCTGGATGAAAGGTAAGGATGAAGTAATAATGGAAATGAGGCAGTATTACCTAACTGATGGTCTCACAGATGGATGGTCAAAATCACTTTACTTGCTAATTACAGTAATTTACATAATTATTCCTGGGTGCATGAGTGCAGAGACATAATGATGGCTTACACTGTATCTCGCTGTATACTTACATATAGTACCATGACAACAGAAGTTGCATACAGTGCAAATAAATAGTACAGAGAAGTTTTAAGGTCATGCCTTAAGTTGGGTTGAAAAACACTAAATAAAGCATTACTTGTGTGACTTAAGTATTCATTGTTATGACCCATTTTACGCATATGTTTCCTCAGATAAGAAGCCCCTGGAGATTGATGCAAGGATGAACATGATCGCCTGCCCTGATGGCCGCCAACTACTGATGATCATGCAGACCACCAAAAAGGATGCAGGGGTCTATGAATGTGTTGCTACAAACCCCCTAGCCTCTGTGTCCAGCTCTTGCACAATATCTCTTGCCCGTAAGAACTGAGACATCACTTTTATGTCAGTCTGTAAGGAGCAGTAAACCTTGTTAGTCCTATATACAACAGGCAGTATATATTAATGTTTTATACATAAATAAAAATACAGTATTAAATATTGTTAGTCTATTATTGACAATAGAGAGGCTGGGAATAACTGGAGGGACTGAAAAAGCCCAAGGACGGACGATATGTATGTCACACCGATACATTTATTTTTTCAGGTCTGCCCAATCGTCCTGGGACCCCTGAAATACCTCAGAAGTACAACAACACAGCCTTGGTTCTGTGGAGGCCCTCAGACACCATGGCCCCTTGCACATACTCTCTGGAGAGAAAAGCAGAGGGTCAGTGTTTCCTAACAATTTGTTAATGTTATATTCCCTTTTTTAGACAGATGACTACATTGAACCCCATGGATATTTTTTACTCTTATTCTTACTTACTCTTTTCAAAGAGTTACATAGATCCAAGCATAATGGGGTGCCAAACCATATGCTGTGGGTTGCAGAGACCCTCAAGCTATGGGAAGATGAAGACTCAGCTGTGACCACATTTATATATACTGTAGATATACAGGTATAGATTTTCACTGTGCAACACCCACTTACATAATCAACAATTTCAATTCAATTCAATTTTATTTGTATAGCGCCAATTCATAACAGAAGTTATGGCAAGGCAACATCAATAATACAAATTATCTTTTATGGTTGCTATGGCAACATGTGGGACATGGCATACAGTAGGGAAGTAGTGAACTCTATGTTTATGGCAGATTGAATTTTACAACCTGAACCATAAATACAGCATTGCAGCCTTGAACCCACATTTAACCAAATGGTCATACTGATCTTATTTTTACTCCCCAGGTGAGACCAACTGGTTGATCATGGCTACAGGGGTGGCAGACTGTTATTACAATGTGGTTGACTTGCCAGCAGGGGGAGCCTTCAGGTTTAGGGTGGCATGTGTCAATAAAGCTGGCCAGGGCCCCTACAGCAACCTCTCAGAAGTAATAAGCATGGATGTTTCAGGTATGTATTATCTTAATATCTTTATGTTTACTTTAGATTAGGCTGTCAAATTTACATAAAATTCCTTTTTATGTACTGAATTGATGTATGTCATGAGACAATGTACATTAAAATTATTTATCCTATTTGGGCAATGTTTTAGTTGTAGATCACCACATTGCAAATATATCAAGTCTTTGAGGTGTATCCTCTCCTTGTCTTTCATTAGAACCAGCTAAATCCAGTGCTCCAGTAGTAGTCAAGACTGTCCCTGCAACTTCACCTCCTGCCCCCGTGGTGATGATGTCATCCATGAAAGTGCCTCCCATTAAACCAGCTCCTAGTAAATCCACTACAGTAACGCCTGCCCCACCCTCAGCGCCAGCGCCAGCACCGGCGTCTGCTCCTGCTCCTGCTCCTGCTCCATCTGTGGCTAAATCTGCTTCTCCAGTAACCATCAAACCCACTGTGCAGGTCACTCCACCCGTTAGTACAGCCCCCTCAGAAAAAGCTCCTGTTCAGACCACCACAGCTGTCCAAGCTACACCAGCAAAAGCCAAGACCACCATTAGCATCAGTGTGAGCAAACCCCAAACAAAACTGGCACTTCCCCCTGTTGTCCCACCCAAACCTCAGAGTCCTGTAAATCCAGTCCCCTCCATAACCAACAAACCACCTTCTCCTGTACCAGCACCTGCACCTGTCATTGGGAAACCTATTTCATCTGTTCCGATGTACGTGCCAGCTGCAACCACCCGCGTTACTCCACCTTCTCAATCTAGTACCACCCCGACAACCACCACCCCTTCAGTCACTCCAGTGACTATCTCACCACCCGTGGTGGTCGTGCAGAGCTTGACACCTCAGCTGCAAGGGGGAGACAACCGGGCTACCCCATCTGGACGGGTCACACCATCAGGACGGGTCACACCTTCGGGACGCAGGACGCCATTGGGCAAGCCTGGAGAGGGATCTCTGCGCCAGGGTGTTCCCCAGAAGCCTTACACCTTCATGGATGAGAAAGCAAGGTAATGACTATTGATGCAACCTGACTTAAATATAAAGAACCCATTTAAGCAAAACTAACTCTCTGCCTCCAAATGGCCAATAAAAAACTGTTTGCTTGTCATCTATGTCAGATTTGGGATTAGTAGCTGTACATAAGTACAGTTCTCTCTCTCTCTCTCTCTCTCTCTCTCTCTCTCTCTCTCTCTCTCTGTCTCTCTCTGCATTTTGTGCCTACATATAGCATTTGGAAAAGTAACCATTGACTTATTTTTTATCACACACAGGGGTCGGTTTGGGGTGATCCGTGAGTGCCGGGAAAACGCCACAGGCAACCTCTTCATGGCTAAGATCGTTCCATATGAAGCAAACAGCAAGCAGGAGGTGCTGCAGGAGTACGACATCCTCAAGTCTCTTCATCATGACAGAATCATGGCTCTGCATGAAGCTTACGTCACACCGCGCTACCTGGTTCTCATCTCTGAGTACTGCAGTGGGAAGGAGCTGCTCTTCAGCCTCATAGACAGGTGAAGCCAAACAGCTGTACTTGCTAAATTGGTTGTTTGTCTCATGTGAAATGTTCCTTGGTTTCTTGTTTAAAATAAACGAGGAGGATTTATTTAGAAATGCATCAATGAGCCATAAAACATTTTCCTGGTCCTCTCCTCTAATAAGCTGTTGGTGTGTTTCAGGTTCCGTTACTCAGAGGATGATGTGGTGACCTACATTGTGCAGATCCTCCAGGGTGTGGACTACCTCCATACCCGACGCATCCTCCACCTGGACATCAAGCCAGAGAACGTCATCGTCACCTACATGAACGTCATCAAGATCATTGACTTTGGCAGTTCTCAGACTTACAACCCTCTCTTCCTCAAGCAGTTCAGCCCTCCTATTGGAACACTGGAGTATATGTGTAAGAGTCCTGTTTTTCATAGACCACCGTAAATGTAACATTAAAGCTGTTCTAATCAATATTTTTATATTAAGAATTGATTAAATGACTGTGTGTAATGTGAACAGCGTGACAAACCCGCAGATGTAAATGTATCACTCGACTCTGCAAATTCCCTCAACTCTGTGAAGTGTTATATCTTCTTTCAGCTCATTGTTTTGGTTTTATGGCTGACAACTTTATACTTCCTGTACTGATAATTTAGTTAGTTTGTTGTAACTTTATTTACTCAGTAATTCTCTTTTAGATCAATATCTATTTTGCAAGACAGACCTGAGGACAAAGCACATATATATACCAGATTGTGACTAAAGCAATTATCATACAAAGACGCTAAATTAAAACTAAATTAAACACAAAAACAAATGTTATAAGACATATCAGAAAAAAGACCCTCAGACAAATTATTTTTATATATTTCTTTATCTTTATTCCAGTAATGGGGTAGATATTACAACAAATCATTGAATATAAATGTGTTCAGTGGATGTAACTGATGGTGTTAATTTAAGCCACGTAAAGGAGTAAAGCAGTTGAATTCACCTCATAATTGTTTTTCACAATATTTGTATATTTTGAACATTGGGGAAGTAAAAATAGTATTTTTGTACCTTTAAGTGTGCATTATGTTATCTTCAGTGTGAAAATTTATTAGGAAGAATGCTTTATGACGGAAAAAAATATCAAAGTTAAAAACTGTAAACTACTCTGTTGATTTGAATCTTTTTTTATTATTTATTCTATTTATACAGATCTTACTTTTGATGTAGGCTCTTTATGTAACTGTATTCTTAGTGGGCGCTCACTAGCTATGAAAACACAGGAGAACTATAACCTAAAACGATACGTTCACACATTTCCAAAAGCTACACATACCATCAAGTCATTACCTATAGAGAATCACAGGCAACAAACTAGTTTTTGTGGTATGAGGATCATTTTCAGATGTGACTAAAGTTCTGTGTAAACTAATGAACGCTGCACATTTTTTCTTTTCTACTCCTTGTAGCTCCAGAGATGTTGAAAGGGGATGTTGTGGGCCCTCCAGCTGACATCTGGAGCGTGGGCGTATTGACTTTCATCATGTGAGTACTGCTTTCACAGCTTCCACCCAGCAAGCCCTCTTTAAATAGAAATGTAATGGTGTTTTTATATAAAATGAGGTTGATGATTGAAAATTAGCATTTGGAATTTCAGGTCTTTTCCATATACTGTAATTGTACATGGTGTCGACATCTTACTGCACTTGTACTACTGATTTCATTCACAACTAAACCAATGAATCAACTTAGCCTTTTATTGTGCATGGTTGATCTGTTTTAGGGGTATGAACTCTCTTTCCCCCTGATTTCCCAGGTTGAGCGGCAAGTCACCTTTCATTGAAAATGATCCTCAGGAGACTGAAGCCAGGATCCAGGCGGCAAAGTTTGACCTCTCTAAGCTCTACCAGAATGTGTCCCAAAGTGCCTCTCTGTTTCTTAAAAAGATTCTCTGTAGCTACCCTTGGTAAGCCGACATTAGTCTTTTTTTGTAATTTCCATATTGTAGAAAATTTACTACACTTACTACACCACATCCATTTATGTGGCTCATTTTGTTTTTTAAGTCTCTCTAAAATCTTTAACATACTTGGCTCCTCACTGTCTGGTCTTCAACAGGGCCCGTCCTTCCATTAAGGACTGCTTCAGTAACTCCTGGCTTCAAGATGCCTACCTGATGCGCCTTCGTAGGCAGACTCTCACCTTTACAACTACCCGTCTCAAGGAATTCTTGGCCGACCAGCAGCGCAGGCGAGAGGAGGTGGCCACCAAGCACAAAGTTCTCCTGCGGTCCTACCAGAGCTCGCCACAAACCCCCACCAGCCCCGCCACACCAAATGTGCCAACCTCACCCACCACACCTGTCACCCAATGAAAACAGGCTTCCAAACACCAGATGGCGGGACTTTAAGACAAGACTTTGGGCCGCGAGGTGGGGTGGTCCCTTCAGGTTTGAGTTGTTGAACTTGGTCGGAAGGGGAAAAAGAAAACTCAAGAAACCAGCAGTGGCTGTGGTCTACAGAGACGTCACTTCTCTTTCTTTTCTGGTTCTGAAGGAGGATCTAAAAGAAAGGGAACTCTTACAGTTACAAGAGCCTGGCTGCGTTTTTTTTTTTAAATGGTGGACCTTGTTCATGCAAGGCAGGATGTTGTCTTCAAGTTAGTACCTCAAGGTTTGTAACTTTGCATACATTTTGGATAAATTACTTCCTTTCTTACTGTCAACTCTACAGTGATTAGAGGGGACACAAATGAATACATTGTAGTAACCCACCATTAAAGGCCTAAAATTGCTGTAATAGAGTTTTGATGTTGAAAGTATTGTTTCATTTAAGTACAAGCTATTCACGAGATTCCACAATAACAAGTACTTAGCACAATTTCAAAATAAGGCGTGCTAAAACAATTGCAACACCTCTACTTAATCAGTCTATAGTCTTATATTCAAATGTTTCCTGACCAGAAGTTCATTCTATAATGTCTAATCCTGTGTCCTTGATTAAGGACAGCCTAGCCTGACGCTAAATATTGCTCTCCATAAACTTAATCCAGATTGAATTGAAGCAGTTAATTGTGCTACAGTACCTAAGTTTTTATACTGCTGTAGCATCTCAGTGATTGTCAAGATTGTAGCAGTTCCAGTTAAAGTTCCTTTCTTGTTTTGAGTTTTAAAAGAAATTATATTCAGAGTTCAGAGGATACATTGGAGGATTCTCTACAAGGGCTATTAGAAAAGCATTCTTAGAATCAGCACACATTTCTTCCCTGATGGTACAAAATAGTATAGTAATGATTCTCTCATTGTCAAAAGCATTATATATTTATTCAAATTTGTTATAAGATCATTATTTCTGCTCCGAGTGATGATATGGACGGCATAAGTGGCTCCATGCAGGACTGACACTGTGTGGGCTGCTTGGCAGGCACTAGTTCCTTCACCACAAATATGCTTACAACCACTGCATTGGCTTCCAGATGAACTAAACTCTTCCACTCAGCCCCAGTGTAAAGGATCCAGGTTGATTAGCCACGTAGAGATATTTACACTCATCTCTGAGTTTACTAAAATGAGGTTTACAAGTTATTCATAGTATGCTTAGACTGTGCATACAAAACTTTGCCTGAGATCATCATTAAATGTAAGATTATTCAGGGGGTTAGTGGGAAACCGAATCGCTTTAACAACCCACTGGTGATACTGGGGTGCCTCCAAGTGCCCTTAACCAGTTAGCATTAGTCAGCATAAAAAAATAGCCTCTGTAATTCATTGAAAAAGGATGTTTATTGAGATGTTGTTGAGTGTATGAGTTCTTATTTTAGCTGTAATTTTTAATTGCTAACAGCTACTGCTTTGAAAAACAAAGGTTTTGCTTTATTTGGTTTTTATAAATTACGGTTTTTAAATGGCAGAACTTTTTATAAATAAAGCAAAGTAAGATTTAAAATGGTTATAATTAGCATTATATTTCACATAAATTATTATTTATATATTCCCTTAATTAAGTGTCACACACCTTTTTGGTTTCCAGCTCATAGGACACTGTGTGCAGTGATCAAAACATAAAATCAATACATATGCAACACTGCAGCAGACTGTACAAAACATGACATCATAAATTCTAGGAAATATTTAATTAATTTGTAAATAGGAGACACTTTCTCCGTATTCCATGTTCTATATTTGAGATGAGATATATTTAGGTATGTACCTCTTAATAAATAAAATAACATAAATAAAAAGAGGTATTTGTTGATCATCAAGAAAATGTAAATGAGAGTATAAATTATCCTAAACTAAACAATTACAAAATGGATAAATTCTAATTATATATTTTAATCTATTTTTTTGCATAAAACACATAATTTCTAGGTACAATAGTGAAGACTGCAATTGGACACATACTGACATTTGTCCCTTGGTTAGACTGAAAGTTGAATACGACTCTGGTGTTTTGGTGTTTAAAGATTATTTATGTTCTCACTTTAGTTATATGCAAAGGGATTACTGATATGAGTAAAAAAAACTATTTGGTTTGCAGTATAGTCTGTTTCCAAATATGTCGTTATCCCCCTTTTGTCCAAGGATGGTTCATCCTAACGTTGGTCAGTTCCAATATATTTTTCTTTAACATTGCACTGGCCATAAATCGGGGATTCACTGATCATTTGTCCTCATTACTTTATGGTAAATAAATGGCTAAGTTGTATTGTTTCTTTCATTTTGCTTTGCCTTGTGAGGGCAAATTCAGTTTTAAGACCAGCATGTGATACTTTTGCACAAATGTCAGATTTTTGATCATTTTGCCGTCACATGTATTGATATCAAGTACAGATTTGCACACTTAACACACAAAGCGTACTTTCTGTTTTATTTAAAGAAAGTATGAAGGAATCACAAACAGATGCTGATGAGTCTTTCACAAGGATATCACATAAAGCTGCATCACACATCCTGCAACTTCATGACTCGTTTAATTTGTGTATTGACTGACAGAGATCGTTGGTAATTCTATGAAATTATTTTACTAATTCTACATATTCTAATGCTATTGCTAGATAAATACTGCCCTTTTCTGCAGCTCTTTGTCTTTTTGGCTCAGTCATTTTTCCTATGCATAGTAGAAGTTAATCACAGAGGGCGTTGTTTTAAACCCGAAGGACAACATGCAAGATCAGCATGAGAATGCAACGTTGCATTCAATTCTAAACGTTTGTGCAATATATCATGTTCTTTAATCATATAAAATGAAATACAAACAGGGTTTTGAAAAAGATGTTGAACGCTCCACATTTTGTATTAAGATCCTCTGCCGTATTTTGTGGAATGTGTTGCAGTGCCTCGTGATGGATATTAGACCCACAGAGAAAATAGTTTGTTAAATGAATGATAAGTTCTTTATTTTGATTATATGAATGTGACTGCTTCGTGTGTGTTTCAGCAATTTGTTTATTTATTGAGTGACTGTATTTGTTATAGCTTCTGCTTTTTATTTTGTGAAATTTCTGAATCTGGCATGGAAAAGGCATGACAGCTGTTAAGGCTATGAACAATAAACGAAATATGACAAATAAATGAACACAATGGGGCACTTCCTTTTTACTGTGGATGACAATGAGGTAGGTAAAGTGTTAAAGTCGAGTTAGATATAGAATTGGTACGAACTTACTATTAACCATTCTTGAATTTGCTATATTTAAAAGGTTGCTAACTGCACTGTTTCCTGCTTGTAGCTGATTAACACTAAAGATTTGACTGAAGTGTTTCCACCTTAACAAAATAGCACAGTTGGGTCATCATTCTATGCTACTGATTTTATGATACTGCCAAAGCCCACTCCCCTCCATATGTCCCGAAAGACGAACAATTATGTGTGTATTTTCACCGGGGACGACTCACATTACAACCACGAACAAAACTATTAACTGCTCCAAGCATTCTCAGGAGTATTTAATATGAAGGCTTTATAAGGATGGGAAAGGATCTCTGTAACATTTGTTGCACATCTTCAATCAGTCTTGTCATGCTTCCAAAGAAGGAAAGGGGAACGTCTGTGTAATGGGTCGTTCGCCATGATCCTTGAGGGCCTAAAAGGCTCCTCCGTTAGATATAAAGCAGGAAGTATTTTAGGATTGCTGACTCTGGAGTGGATGTGAAGCAGAGAGCAGCTTCGACAGGATCTCAGAGGTAAGAAATTAGATGTTATGTTGTAAAGGAAAGAAACTGCTGGTATAGTAAATGTGTATTAATTCATTTGTAAAAAATCAGTTCCTAATTGTTCTTTTCCTGTGATCAGAGGCCTTTTTCACACAATACATTTTGACATGTTGGTAGAAAAAGCACATGTGTAAAAACTGTAATTAATGATGGCTGAACTGCATTTAGCTGCTTCAGTTTCGGAGTCTGTCATACCTTACTGGGACACTTAAATAAAACAGAGCCATCATTAATCTTATAACCTGTGCTTTCACCTCTATGAGAAGTCAAAATATATGCAGTGGAAAAAGCCTTTTGGATATCAAATAGATTTTCAGCTAACTTGCTCTAAGAGTAGTGCTCTAACCACTGCAGATGTCCAAAGCGAAGGCTGCACCTCCTCCTGGGTGCACTCTGAATATCAGCGACCCTCAGGTCCAGGAGGCTGCTATCCGAATCCAAGCCTCGTATCGCGGACACAGGTACCAAAATATCTAATGTCTGTTGGCATCACCGACATTCAAGTGCCCTATGAGCAGAGTTCATGTAATCATGCAAGGCTTAAGTATGCTTTAAACAAAGTGCTTGTTGGACCATTTCACAGCATCCGAAACCCTCTTACCCCCCCCCCCCCCCCCACACCTATCCGGTGTTGGAAGTTGGGAGGGACTAAATCCGACTATTTTTGTACCTTTCTGAAACTGACATGAAGCATGTCCACTCAAGGGAGTCACTGGCTAGGTGTGCCGAAATCAGATAGTATGGTGTATAAAGTATGATCTATTTCTTCATTTTTTACATAACTACATCTGTTGAGTACAGCACAGCAAATGCTTTTGAAAGGAGATGAGACATGTGCACGGTTATCTCCATTTAAACTATTATAATATACCTCAGGTATATAGAGCAGGTATAAACACTTTTACACTTCCTTTGCACAACACTTTGTATAAACTAATACATTTAAAGCATACTGAATTACCATTTTCAAACGGCTTGTGTAGTGAAATCTCACGTTACTGCGTTTCTCTTATAGGTCGCGTAAAGAACTGCGAGAGAAAGGCCCTCCCAAGATCCTGCAGGAGCTCAAAGATGTGGTTCTTGTTGAGGGCAGCGCTGCGAAGCTGGAGTGCAGAGTTAGTGCATTCCCAGACCCTTTCATCGTCTGGTACAAGGACGGCAAAGAGCTGAAGGATGGACCCAAGTACCGCTATGTTTTTGAAGACCCAGATTTTGTGGCGCTCGTGGTCCTGGATGGGGTCCTGGCTGATTTGGGAAAATACAGTGTTACCATTAAAAATCCATTTGGACAGACAAGTGGATCTGCCTGTATTTTAGTGGAAGGTGTGTACCTTTGGATGGAGAAAGGCTAGCTGTATCCACTGGTTTCTAAACTCTGTGCTTAGCTAAGCTAACCAGCTGCTGGCTGTATTTACAGGAAGGATATGAGAGTGCTGTTTAGTAGTTGTGGATGTCATGATGCAAATTTTTCCTCCTGCTCAAAACTTTGTCAGACTTCCCTCTACTCTGTTCCTCTTATGATTTCTGTAGAACTTTATCTTTAAGGCAAACTTAAGCCATGTGACTGAATATTTGTGTCATGCTTTCCCCAGTCCCTGCTAAGGTTTCTAAAGGCCCAGACAACATTAAGGCCAAGAGAGGAACAACCGTGGTGCTCAAGGCGAATATAAGCGGGGAGCCCCCTCCAGATGTCGCCTGGCTCAAAGATGGAGATGACATTGAAGAAGACGACAGGTAGGCGTCCGTAGAGATTGAACTGGGAGGGATTGCTGTATTATTTTCTATCTGTATGTTAACAACGCTGTAACAAACGGTGCTGACAAAGATGCTTCAATTGTCTTTCAGGGTATTCTTCGACATCGGAGACACCAACACAATCTTGACCATCAAAAATGCAAAGCTCTCTGACGCTGGCAAGTATGAGGTGTTTGTGGAGAACAATCTGGGCACGGATCAGTCGTTTGCTCGCGTCGACATCCTCTGATGCAACGTCTCAGCTACGCCAAAGCTAACGCGACGTCTCTTATAATCAATCCAACTGACAATATACTGTATTCATGCTGCGTTCCAAGCTGTACATAACTTCAATCATGCTCATAATAAAAAGCAGGTTAAAACATTTGTATTGTTCAATGTGTAATATTTGTTTCTGATACAAATGGTTAAAACAGTAGAGATTTATAATGAAAAAGGTGGACATGGATGTAATGAACTGTGTACAGTCAGAGGGTTTTATCATTATTATTTTTTTTGGTGCCAGCTGCCTTTAGCTATGATTTAGACGAATTACAGCCTAAAGCAGGCCTACTACCAAACTCACTTTACCACTCAGTTTTGTGTGGTGATTGTTTCCCCGATTGAAAGACCTTTTGTTAATGGGACATTCTTTTCCAGGTTAAATAAAGGCACAATAAGGGCCATCCTTGTCCTCTGTAAGTATGTCTGAAAGGTATGTGTACACATACAGGGGACTCTATTTAAGGATATTTAATTGAAGAGTATTTTCAGCACGATAGAAATAGACATCGACTAAAAACAAGGACAACAACAAAACAGAACAAAGATTGGGAAAATAAACATTTACACTATAACAACATATTTGGAAACAGACTATATATGAGTAGATAAAGGAAATAATTAACTATATAAAATATGTAGAAAAAGCAGCAATGACCAACAACATAAATGTGTATAAAAGTGGAGATGTTAATGTAAATGTTACACAGGCCTGTAAGTTGCAAAGAAATTTATTTTTAATGAAAGCCATTGCTGAAAATAAGTTCAGATCAAAACTATTGAGCCATAACACATATAAAAACAAACAACATTTTATTTTTTATTTGGGGGGGATGAGTCTATCTGCAGATCTTTCATTCATCCATTCATTCATTTGAAGAAAGAAAGAGGGTTACTTTGATCTTGTGTGTGGGCACTTTAAAGACCGTCCCGAACTTCCTCTTTCTCTCGGGTCGGTTTCAAGGCTGCCCCCGCACAAAAAAAAAAGTCAAAGTTGTGCGTGCACAAATTTTAAAAACACTCCACGTGCAAGAAAACATGCAAACCATGCCATAAAACTTAAATATGTTCATTAAAGACTGCGGAAATAATGTAAAATATCGCTTTTTATACACGTTTTACCACTTTTATTTGGTTTTACGCTCGAAATTAAACTTTAAATAAAATAAAAAAAAATAAAACATTTTAAACTTATTAAAACATCCCAATAACATGTCCCCCTCCTCTAACAACACCATAGCCGAAGAATAACTCCGCTGTGACACGTACAGTGACATTTTACGAAAAGCTTCACATCCTGCATTGTGGCTTTAAGAATGGGGCTTCCTTGAAACCGTCCAGTTCCATGTTAGCATGGTCAAATTGATTGAACTTCTTCAACGTTACAACTTTTTTACAAGTAACTTTTCTTTAAGACACTTTTAACCTCCGTATTTTAGACCAGTTCGGTCCGGTATGGTTTGTTTTGTACGCGTTTCAGCTGTTTAGAGCGTCTCTTTACCTCCACGCTCAGTATGCGCGTTTGCAGACAGGGAGTGGCAAAATATAAATAATTGTTTTGGATGTGTGTTTTTTTTTTTTTTTTTTTTTTTTGCCATAACTTGCCGTTATTGTATACAGTAACAACGTCTCTGTGTTTGAGTGACGGATCTAATGGACCATTCGCCGTCGATAATCACGCAAGTAACCAGAGACGAGGAGGAAAATGCGACTTGTCGTGAGGAAGGTGAGTTTGGGTTGAAGTTTTCTCAACTTTTCAGCTGCGCATGACAATGTCAGCACGGCGGTGTATTCAGGGGGACGCCACGGTGTCACTTATGTCCGTGGACCGGCTCTCACACCGTCCTAATACCCCCCCCCCCTCCTCAGAGAGACCGTACATGTCCTTGAATATGATTGTTGGAAACATTTTCACTGCAGCTTGGAGACAATCTGAAGCCGGTTGCCTTCTGGGTAGGCCGGAGCCATGGGGGCAGCCGCTTTGGGCATACGGTTTTAAATATATGTATATGTGTGTGTATAAAGACACAATTTGATTTGAGTGTGAAATAAGGTGACTGTTGCTTGGTGGGGGTTTGGGAGTTTTTCTGCACAGTGAGTGTAAAACATGAGAAAGTGCGTTCAATCTGAGGGGGGCGGGGTCACTTTGACAGTTCACTGTTGTTGTTTTGGACTTTGAAGTTGAGCTGCTTCAGTTTATCCCCTCAGATTGTCCCAGGAACGCAGTTTTTTAACTAAATGAACACATAAAGATGCTAAAACTGCCATTTTATGGGCTACCATCAAACACCTGTATTATCTCTATGGGGAGTGTGAAACATGGCCATCACTCTGCAGCAGTCAGTAGTGGAGGAAGTACTACTACAACCCTGTAAAAGCACTTTTACTACTGTCAAAGTCCTGCAGTGGAACTTAAGTAAGAGTAGCCTCTGTATTTATAATCAAGAAAATGTACTTCAAGTATTTAAAGTACTTCAAGTGCAGGAGAAATTGCCCATGTGACCATTACACTACTATATATTACATTATTATCATTCATGCATTAAAAGCAGGGTTTTGCTTTTGTAGTTGGTTCAGGTGGAGCTCATTTTTTAACTTATTTGTATATAAAACTGCAATTAATTCTTATATTCATAATAGTTGATCTGCTGATTTTTTTTGTACGTGTAAAAATTCTTAAAATAGTGAGAAAAAACCCCATCCCAGTTACCCACAGCCCAAAGGGACACCTTCACAATGCTTGTGTTGTCCCACAGCTAGTACACAATTCAAAATAAAATAAAATGAATTACAATAATTCAAACACATCCTCACATTTGTGAAGCTGGAATCATAAAAAAACTGAAATGGTTAAAATAGTCAATTTTCCGTCAGCTTGAACATTGATTTAAACATCTAGGTCAGTGATTTGACTTCAGTTTTCACTTTTTAGATAATCCAGAGGTTCATTGATATTACGTTCGTCATGCCAGATGTTTTACAGACGTTGCCAGCAAAGCAACAGTTCACTAAAATAAAGTTAACTATAGCAGCACCTCCACATTTATGATATGTAACCTTCTTTTTAATTGCTCAGGCTCAGAAATTGTAGCAGGAACCTTTTAGGCCAGCCTCATTTGTCCATGCTCAGCTTTCAGAGCAGGATATTTGTATTAATGGTTTAGATGACGAGGCTGAAATCAAATTTAGATCTTTAGCTGTGACTGGAAAAATGCCGTGTTGGTCAGCTCTAACCCACAGCAGACTACAATAAAGCAAAGTGACCAGCGGTTGGCTTCATAAGGTGGGATACCACATCTGGGAGGGTGTGTAACAGCAATAACAACGATAAAAACAGCACAACTGCAGGATGTTAACTTCATTCCATTCGGATTACATATTAGAGTCCAGTCTCAGTAGAAAACTGGAGATTTGAGTCTACAAACTACAAACTACAGGTCACTGAAACGTCACACAAGCTGCTGCACTAATTCTAAATTAGAGTAAATGCTTATTGTGCAAGACGTTGCCTAATACGTTCTTCATTTTTTTTGGCATGAAGTAGGCCTGAAGGCTGGCACCGTGGCGGCTCTGCGGTTAGCACTGTCTCCTTACAGTTAATCCCGCTGTGTTTGCCTGCGTTTTTTATTTGTGTGCTTTGGCTTCCTTCCACGCTCAAAGACATAAAGGTTGAGCATTAGAAACAGTCCTACAGCTTCCTGGCAGAAGAACGACAGTTGACAGGGATCAATCATGTTCATCTGTACAGTAATAAACTTAGCTTTAGGGCTTAGCATCTAGATTTGCTTCCACTTCAGTGGTTAAGGGATTTGTATTCGAGGAGCGTCGCCTCAAGTGAATCTTGTGCTCTAGTGCATGTTGTATTAGGTTGTTGTTTTTTTTCATTAAACAGATACTGTTAGTGTCAGATATCAAATATATAATCATGTATACTGTTGTCTGACCTTACAGAGATTAAGATAGTGAAGTTTGTTTTTCCATTTGGAGGAATGTAGTTGCAGAATGAGACAATCAGTAAAGAGTGTGGTGATTGAATGAAAGAAGACAATGTAAGATAAGACTGATAGTCTGGGTACTGAAGTTGTAATTAAATGTTTTATCATACCACTCAGTCATGTGATTTGGTCCACAGTCCTCATCCTGTGGCATTCAGTTTACAGATAGAATCTACAACCGAACAATCTTGCAGGATGAAGAAAGAAAAGTCCTGCCAGTAACTGAGTCCAGTCAGGAGGTGGCAGCACTATCCAGCTTACAAGTTACCAGCCCCACTTACTTCCTCCTGTCCATAGGTCATGAGGCCAAAACATGGCTGCTATCCAGAAGAGAGGGGCCAGAGAGAAAGAAAAGGGCGAGCTGTCAGCCCTTCTTTAGTTTTAAGTTGCTGCAGCCAAATGGGGGCATCACAAACCCGTAACCTCAGGAAACTTTCTTTCAAAATGTCTGTGCAAAGTTCCAACCAGCTATACATCCCTGTTCCTTGAAGTTTCAGTCTATATTTGGTGGCATATTTATTTCAGGTTGCTTTTGAAATACGATGCAGTAATATACAGTTTTATAGGCATGATAACACTGCTATGAATGTATATTTAGTTTATATTCTTTCTGTGATCATTTTCTGCACCACCAAGCAACAAGTCAGCAACTTTAACTGTAATAACTACACCTGTTTTTGTGTCATTGGACATGAGACATGAGTGTAAGGTGAAAATTTCCAGATGCAAAAATGTTTAAACCTTGATCTGACCTGACCTAAGTCTAGCTTGGTAACCATGGACCTGCCATACCATCTGCTCTGGAGGGGTGTGAAGCAAGTTGTCAGATTGTAACAGAATATCAGGTGTCAAAGTGGCGGAAAGTCAGTTGTGGGAGGCCTCATTCTTTCTGCGTCTGGATAGGAATAGACGCAGAGGCATGCCTAGCCTGAAAGGGGTCTCAGATAAGCCTGCTTTCAACTAAGTGGGCTGAAACATGCTGATGTGGCGCGAGGTCGTTGCTGCCCCTCGGAAATGCTGTAACCTCATTATCAGTGTCTGAGGCTCTGGGACAGGGAGGTGTGAGGAATGTTGCAGTACAGTCTGCTTCTTACACATTTCTGCTACCTA